ATTTTATTTTCCTGGGCTCCATGATCACTGCAGATGGAGACAGCAGCCACGAAATTAAAAGATACCTGCTTCTTGGGAGGAAAGCAATGACAAATCTTGACAGCATCTTAAAAAGCAGAGACATCACATTGCCAACAAAAGTCCACATAGTCAAAGCTATCGTTTTTCCTGTCGTGATGTATGGAAGTGAGAGCTAGACCATAAAGAAAGCAGACCGCTGAAGAATTGATGCCTTTGAATTGTGGTGCTGGAGGAAACTCTTGACAATCCCCTGGACTGCAAGAAGAAACCTATCAGTTCTAAAGGAAATCCACCCTGAGTGCTCACTGGAAGGACAGATCCTGAAGCTGAGGCTCCAGTACTTTGGCCATCTCCTGAGAAGAGAAGACTCCTTGGAAAAGACCTTGGTGTTAGGAAAGTGTGACAGCAAGAGGAGAAGGGGACAAAAGAGGATGAGATGGCTGGACAGTGTCTTCGAAGCAACCAACATGAATTTGACACAGCTCTGGGAGGCAGTGGAAGACAGGAGGGCCTGGCGTGCTCTGGTCCATGGGGTCACGTAGAGTCGGACACGACTAAACGACAACGAAAAAGGGCAAGGGGGGAGGGCCAACCAAGTAAGTAATGAGGAACAAGATGAAGAATTTCTGGGAACAAGAACAGCTGAATTGAAAAATTCATCTCACAGATAGGTTTACTCCACAATGGTCAAAATTCACAAATGTGTTGTAAAAGTGAATTCCGAAATACAGTACCCAGAAAAGCCAAGAAGTGAATTCCCTGTTATGGTCCGACTAAGCTGTATGCTCCCCTGAACAACTGAATTTTCTATTCAATTTTTATATCTTTGTGGTCGGCAATCTGCCGTGCTAATGTACTTGTTTCTTGCAATCCAGCTGAAAACGCAGTTAGAGTACTTCAGTTCTTGATAGTACACTTTTCATAGAGAAGCACACATCAATTATTCTTCCTTATTTTAAATTAGTTCAGACATTCATTATCTTAATGTTTATAACCCCATTTGCAGGAAGTAGTAATACACCTCCAGCCTTCAAAACTCACCCTGATTGAATGTTCTAGCCATGGGATCTATAGCTGCTCAAGTTTGAAAATGAATCTGGCAGGCTGAAAGAGTCCGGCTGAGGTCTGTATTATCAGGTGTCACCTTGAAGAATGTAGAATCAGTCACCTGCCCATCTCTATGGATAAAGAGCTTGCGACCAGCCATCAAACTGTCCACTGCCTTTCACTGAAGCATACAGTATCTAAGCTGCTGAGGAGGGAAAACACTAAGAATGTGGCAATAGTAGCAAAGCTGCTTAAATCTAGGTAATACACTAGGTTTCGATTGTTTCTTTTTCATTTGGCTCTGATGCCTGCCACTGAATATTAACCATTCTTCATTGGTTGGAAGGAAAGGTCTCTAACTCTATGACAGATCATATGCTTTGTATGCAAAAGGTCCTCAGATCAAGCCATGTATCTCAAACCGCACCAAGGGATTTCATGTCTGACTTGGCACATAGCAGCCTCCTGTGTTTTGTTTGCATTTTATTTTACTTTATATTATATTAGTTACTTAACTTGTACGTATACTGCCCCACTCAGTGACACCCACTATTCTGGGCAGTTTATAAAATAGACTGGTGAACCTCCACCAGTCCCCAGATACCACCCACATACAAATCCAAACAACATAAACCCAAATAATATGGCGAAGATCAATTCATTAAAAAAATACATTCTACCTCCTTGGTTGTTTTCAACTACCGACCCAAACCCAGCAGTCACTTCAGCCACAACCATTCCGGCGGAAAGGGCCCAGTGGAAATCCTATACCCCAAACTGCTGCCAGAAGCCTGCCGACAATTCTGGCACATTTTGACTGGTAGAAGCAGAAGACTCCAAGGAGTCTTTCCTTTTACCTACTTTAAGAAAAGCTGCTTTTCAACACTGTTGCTAGAAAACTCGCTTGGACGTGCCACTTCAAGACCCCACGAACTGCCCAGCATAAATAAAACACAAGAGTTCCAATAAGAGAGATGGGCAACTATAAAACAAACCAGCAGGCCTCAATACCTGCAGCTGAGCATCTGCCTTGAAAGTTCTGTACCAGTGGCTTTGAGCATGCTTTATCTCAGTGTCAAAACACTGTCAAACGTCTAGCTGGCACTGAAGAGCCACAAATTGTGTTCCATATGTGCATATGTCATCATCTTGTCACTTTTATTTGCTCTCTTCATTTCTATCTTCATCGATACACTCCAACACAGCTTTCCCACAAAGTCAAAACTGATTCAGACTGATTCAGAAAAGCTTAAACTTCCTGAAAATGATAAACATGTGAAATGATCATCTGAGCTTTCATTTGGCCAACAATCTGAAAATTATAAGCATTAGGTATACTAAATGCACCTCGTATTTTTAGAACATGTCTTTCCTCCTACAAAGGAAAGCACAATGCTGTAAAAAAAGTAAGACCCACAGGGAAGAGAGGAAGAAGCAGAACAATCCATTCAACCTGTCAGCCTGCACCAAACTCAGTGTCAAAATAATGGAAGTCACTCTGATGGGCCTCATAAGGATTGCATCAGGCATTGTCCAAACGAATTCCCGTTTCCCTGCTGCAGTACTGCAGGCAGATGCGTAAAAGAATCCTAGCAGAAAACAAATATGATGAAATTCAACATATCTTGGATTAAACCCCCCTCAAAAAGAAGCACAGGAGCTCACAGCTAAATGAAAAACATTTAAATATATGAATTTAAATATATTTTTCCTATATTTAAAAAGCACATTTTGAGTATATAAACAGGTTAAAAGGTAAAAAACAGGCTGTAGTAGAAGGTATGAAATGTGTCATACAAATCTGTAGGAGAAAAATCCAAGGTCTCTCTCTTTGTGGCATTGTTGTGTGCCACTATGTTATTTCCAATTTAATGTGAACCTATGAATTAATCACATCCAAAAAGTCTGGTTACTAACAGTCTACTCAGCTCTTGGAAACTAAAGGCTGTGGATTACTTTAGTGAGTGAATCTATGTTTTGGTCATTTGTCTTCTTTTCCTGTGGCCTTCAACCTTTTACAGATTATTATATTTTCCAATGAGTCTTGTCCTCTTGTGATATAACCAAATTACAACAGCCTCACCGGTTTAGCTTCTGGCAAAAGTTCAGATTTGATTTGATCTAGAACCCATTCATTTGTCTTGCATCCATAATGTCATCTTCAAACACCACATTTCAAATGAATTGATTTATACCTGAAATATAGCTTGAATTCAGTTCTTGCATCAGGTGACTGCTTCTACCTCAAAATGATTTTCAGATCATTTGAGTTAGTGACTGGATCCATTATTACAACTCAAATGTTCTACAGCAGCAGTTTGTCAAACAGCTTGTGAGGCTCTCTGACTTCAAAGTATGAGTCAACAAACAACATAGCTGGTCGACAATCTTCGTCCCCAGCATTTTGTGTCCTAGTTTTTGGAAACTACTCATGCACAACTTTAAAGACAGCAAACAACAGCTGTATCAGGGCAGTTTATGTGTTGGTTTGGCCATCGTAGGAATCAAGACAATTAATGATATATTACATTAACCAACCAGCCATGAAATAATGAACTAACAATCTCTAATATATTTTTTACATAAGCAATTCAATACGTTGTTAACATGGCCTCTGTTATTGTTCTTTTCTTTATATATTCCTCTTTTGCCCAACACAGGATATTAAGGCAGCTTACAAAATACTTAAAATAAAGATATCACTAATAAGGATGTGCTCTTTGTTTTGTAAAACAAGGGAAGAAAATTTTTCCAAAGAGCTATGACTGTCAGGAAGCACTGTACCTACTTACCTCCCTCCCTCCCTCCCTCCCTCCCTTCCACAAATCAAGAACAGAAATTCAAGTGCAGGGAAGCTGATGGTGGAAAAAAAAATCCAAAGCTCTTTTCTACAGGGCCAAAATGTGCAGGTGTGTCAATCTGAATTTCCAGGAATTGCAACCCATAAGCGTGAAAGAGCACATCTCTAATTGTAAAAATACAAGAAGTCATAATATTAAAACTCAGTTAAATACTTGAGTGCATTAAAACTACCGGTAGATTAAAACAATTTAAAAACACATAAGTAAAAATGTAGTGTATAATGTAAAGCAGAATAGTCCTCATTAAAACCTTCTGCCTCAGTGACCTGTTCAGTTGCCAAAACTCTGCCTTAAAAGAAAGAGCTTTGCCTGTAAGGCAACAGAGAGATGGAAAAGGCCAGCCCAGTCTCCCTCAGAAGAGATTTACAGAGCTGGGAAACAGCCACCGAAACACCCCTTTCATGTCATCACCAGATCTGCTCTGTGAGGGTGATGGGGCTGCAAGAAAGGCCTCCCTTGAAGGAGATACTGCTCTTCAGATAGCATGGACCCAAATTATATCAGGCTTTGTAGGTCAAGACTACTACTTTGAGCAGGGCCTGGAAAAGAAACTCTCGGCCTGACTAAAATAATTCATCGCCTTTCTCCTAAAAAAGGACTCAAGGAGGCTTACATCATTAAAAACACAGTATTAAAACCTAAAAACAGTATGTTATTCAAATCTTAAAGAAGAATTAAATAACTTTATATTAAACATGGTTAGTAAAAGCATTATGAAAAACAGATTCAGAAGCAATAAAATATGGATCATCCAAAATTCTACCAAAGTTCTAGCAATCATAAAACAGGAACCCATGGTATTTTCTACAAGGATGGTAACCTCATGCCATAATTCCTAATGTTATCAGAGACACTTCAAGTTATAACTGCTGGATAGCGTAGTGGTTTAGGTATCTGAGTGCCAGAGCCAGAGGGCTGGGAGTTCAGTTCCCCACTGTGCCTCACTGACAAGGGCTGGACTTGATGACCCATAGAGTCCTTTCCAGCTCTGCAGTTCAAAGGTTGTTATTATTCTTATTATTACGTTAAGGGCTAGAATGTGGGAGGAGGTGCAAAGAGAAGTGGTCTCACCTGGTTTCTTCATCTGTGCTCTGTAGGAGAGAACACATGCAAAACAAAGATGTTGGAAACAGCACTGCAAACATTTATTTTCATTTTTACACTATTGAGAATAAGTAACGTATGACAGACACATAAAGGCTTGTTGGTTAATGATGATAGGGAGGGGTTTTTCTGCTAACAGAAAGAATCACAGTTACATTTCAAGCTTCAGGCAGCATTTGATCAGAAGGGCACAATGGACTGCTTGCTTGGGGCAGTAATAACTGGCACTTCTACAACTAAACATTTCACCTCTCATCAGCTAAGCATGGTGCTTTAACCGTTCTCATTTTCATTAGATTCTCAGGTCATTCTGGCCAGATGGGAATGGCTCAGGATTGCTGTTTGTTGAAGATAACGTATTCCCATCCTACTAACACACTAACAGGATGATAACACTTATCGGGTGCTTGGTCTGACAGATGGTGTTTAATTGCAGAAAGCTCTAATGATACCTAGCATTTCCTATTATATGTTTGTATACGTGCCATGATGCTCAAATCGTAAATGCCTACAATCCCAAACACAGAGGGTCGGGTGGTTGTTGTTTTAGCTCGGGCATGGGAGCGGAAGACAACACGAAAGTGTTAAAATGCTGTTTGGGGCCTCCACTGCTCACCAGAGTGTCTAATGCTGAGCAAATTTTTGTAATTCTCAGCAGAGCATTAAGGACATTTTATATCACATTCTGAGAGCAAGTAAAGGGCATTGAAATAATCAATTCTATGTAAATATCACAGTGGAGTTAATGCATGTAGCATTTTCTCTTTGTAAAGAAAAAGGGGAATGTTAAGCAAGCCTTGATATCTGCTTGCTTTGAGAGTCTGATAAGGAGAATAGATGCACAATATAAACTTCAGCTAATACTGAAATTTAATCGGATTTATTTAACTAGGCACAAAAGCATTATCCATGGTGTTATTAAACAAACAGACACATTGTCATCTGTACTTTCATAAATTATGTACGATAGGTACACAACTTGGTGCTTCAAATGGAAGCTAGGACAAGCATTACCCCAGGAATCTTGTACTGTACAGGAAGCACACCATCTAAACTTTTGAGTGTAAAGCCTCCCTATATAAGGTGCTGTAACGGAACCCAAAGTATGACGTCATTCCTGCATGTCAAGCGGGATGGAGCAGGAGGGGCGGAGTCAGAATGACAGTTGGAACAGCTGGGTGAGACAGTTAGGAGTTGGAATCAGAGATTGAGAGAGGTTCAGGCAGAGTTAGGGACCAGAAGTTATTAAGAGAGTGCTAGGATTTAGGAATAGAAAAAGGGACAAGGAAGAGAATTGAAAGAGTTAAAATATAGTGAACAAGCAGGAATGAATGTCTAAGTATAACAAGAGAGATATTGACATGATCTGATATACGTTAACACCTGATTTATTATACATGAACATATGAAACAGTTATATTTGATGCTCCTTATGATTTGTTCGATAATAAAAGAATATTTATTTAAAACCCTTGATTCCTGAAATTGTATGACCCTTTGGGGTGACAGCTCCCGAGTGTGTGGGATTTGATTTGGTATTAGTACAATACCTGGTGGCAGCGAAAAGGGCGTATTTACCTTTGTGGAGCCCAGAGGTATATAGGGCACAAAGGGGGATCGCCACAGGTGCTCTGAAGGCAGAATGTCCCAGGCTCAAGCCCTGGGATGGGGAGTTAACCACAATCTGTAATAGTCGGTCCACCTGGAGAAAGAATGTTTCTGCCATAGAGACCTTGAGCTACAGCAGAAAATAGTGGCTTAGAGATAAGCCAATACAGCAAAATGCAATATTACATATTGATCAGATCCAGTGCAAAACAACTGCTCTGTCTTCTTATCCCTTTTTTAAAAAACAGTACTGTTTGGAAATAATGTTAACGACTGTCCTGTTCTTCTCTTTGCTCCCTTTCAAGAAAATGCATCCTTCAGAAGAGAAATGGGGCACATGTATATAACCTTTGCACGCATGATATTTTACTATTGGAAGTGTATTAACATGACAGAGCCAGGTTACTAAAGAATTTCATCCATCCAGAAATACACTGCAAACTGCATTAATGAACCTATCAATCACCTCATTTATCACGTTGTTTCCGTTTCTATATAGATCTTGCTTGAATTATGATTCTATTTAGAATAATTCTTTGGTTTATTGATCACAACATTACCTCTACAAAAAGACCAACTACTATACTAAAAAATATGCATTTTTTTAAGCAGAAAAGGAAATGCTACCCTAAGGAGTGTATAATTAACTTAGGGAAATCACATCAAGAACTCACTTGATGTGATTTGGTCACTTCCAATTTAGGCAGTCTGAAAGGACAAAAACATAGAATAGATACCTAAAAACCAGATGCCGGGGAAAAGCAAGAATAGCTATTAGATCCATACTCCACTTGTGGAGATTTTGGACAAAACCAAAATCTACAAGACAAGCAATCTTTTTTATTAGACCAACCAATATTCCATAAAGTGTGCAAGCCTACATGTTGCCTGGAAGGTATGGACTCTCTCTAGTCCTGGACTCAGAGAAGAAAAGAATCAGGAAAGTCCAGAAATGTTGGGTGTTGTTATGGTCATGATATCTGTTGTTTTCCAAGACAGAAATTCCCAACTAAACAAGTCACTGGCAGCTATCTGGGTACTTCACTGTGTATACATTTTCCCTTCAAGAGAGCAATCACAAGATTTACCACTCTGGAAATGGCAGGCAAGTATACTTGATGTATTTGTTCCCTTTTGCCTCTACCGAAAGCCTTTTCAAAGCTAATAACTTCATATTATTTTACAGAAGATAGGCAGTGACGACCTCTGACCCATTAATCATCTGTGGAAGTGTTCTAGAAATCACCTCTTGGCATGTCGCTTTAACATACTCCCCAACTCCAATAGCTCTCTTAATATGAGTGAGATAGCATACGGTGCAAGCTGACTTAATTTAGATAAAATAAATGGAATGCTCCACCCATTCTTTTGGAAGGTGAACATAATGAGGAAAATTAATGTGGAAGAATTTGGATGGAGAATTCAAGTGAAGTATTATGGGTTTACAAGGCTCTAAACAAGAAACTGTCCTTCCAACTTTTATTGGATATGTTCTGCACACAGACTAAGCAGACAGGGATATCAAATACACTCTTGTCTGACACCTAGCTAGGAAAAGGGCAAAGTGTGGGAATCAATCTTGGATCTCTATGGGAACTCAACTGGTTTGCCTTCTATAAAACAGACAAGTGTTACCATGATAAATGTGAGTTCAGAATAACAGTTTTGCTTTTTGAGCTTCCCGTTATATCTTGATTCATCCTGTTTCTGCACCCAGTTCACCTTGCTCCACCCAATGTAGCACACCTCTTCCAATACTAAACAGTTGATTTTTGGGAATCTGGCTCATGGCCAGGCAGGAGAGCAATAGTTTTGCCTTATCTGTCCTATGAGACATTGCCTTTGTACCTAAAAATGAGAACATGTTTTCTGGAAAAAGAACCAACAAGGTTCTTTGCATCTTGTAATATATACTTGCTGAATAATTTTCTTGAAGCTGAAGGTAATTAACATCTATCCAAGTGACTGTTGTAGCTTGGATAGTGTAGATCTGTGGAGATGATGTTATGGTTAGTGCAATGTTGATATGTGAACATGCTGCTGTAGCTTGAAATAACATATATTTATGGGATTCTCTCATTGTGCACTACTCTTTTTTTGTACTTACTGGCACATGTAGTAACTGTACATCTTAGATCAGGCCAGGCAATCTGGGTGCCTTGAGGTATTCTTGGACTGCAACTCTTACCACTGTGCCTGCTGGCTAAGCTTGATGGGAGATGCAGTCCAACAACACCTGGAGGGCCACAGATCATCCACACCTGGCAGGTAAATTGCACTCTTTTTTTCCCTTCTGGGTTCTGACGGGCCCTTAGTGGGCATATGTTGGGAGTGAGGTGGCCACATTTTATAACACTCACTATTTTTTTAAGGCAAAAGCTGCCAGTGTTCAGTATTTCATTTATATACTGACCTTAGTAAGACCCCACAAAACTTCAGTTGCTTTCAGGCTAATCAAGTAATAACCTGAAAGTCAATATGGAATTGTCATTGCACATTGTTGACCAACAGGGTGGTGGATAAGTCAGCGTGGCTTTTTGTAAGTTATTTAGGTCAAAGTGTCAAATTCCATATCCTCAGGGGTCTAGGTTGACAAAGAGAAAATTCTCAAACCCAAAGACCACTGCAGAGAATTTTCCTTCTCCTCAAAGAAGATATAAAATAGGAAGAGAATAAAGAATGTCATGGTTCTGGCAGTGTGAAAAGATTTCTGTGATCTACAGAGGAGATCAACAATGTTATCAACTATCTATCAAAGCACCACTAGTTTCTTTTCCAAGGCAACTCAATCAAAAGGCACTGAATGGACTCAGTCTGTGCTCAGAACAAAAAGAGAGTTACGGTTTGAGTACAAACTCTTTCTTAACCTAGTTTCCTGATGCCATCATTGATACAACTTCTACGAAGTGGCTCAAGTTTTGATTAGGGTCCATTTATATCTCAACTCAAGATGTCAGAATAAAGTCTTAGACAGGAGCAGAAGCAAAACTTCAACTTCCAAGCCTTTAACTTTAACTTGGGAATATGCAGGCCACAAATCAAAAGGATAAAGTAAAAGAATCTCAGAGCAAGAACTTCATTTAATTTCAAACATGGACATTTGGGGGGCTTTTCTGTGCATTCTACTGAGCAGAAACCTGGGCTGCTGCTTTTGAAAGGCACCAATGGACCCAATCCTGAAGAACATGTCCATCTTCTTGAAGTCCCATACTGATGCTCTGTTGTGCATCCATATAGCTGATGGGCTTCCATGTTCATTCCTTACTATTCATTCGTCTAAAAGGCAAGCAATGATTAAAATACCTATTGAATTTCATTCTAGTAACACCTATTAGTCATGCAGCTAAATGCAATGTCTGTCTACAGAAACAATATACCC